GATTTAAGTCAAAACATAAATACACACGCGGACGAAATAAAATTTATTAAAATAGTTTGGCTCAGTTTGTAGCGTACTTGCTGTGCCAGCGGTCGCGGGTTCGAGTCCCGCTGGGGGCATTCATTTGTGTGACGAGCACGAATGTTTGTACTCCAGTCATGGGTGTTTATATTTATAATATGTATGTATTTAAAGTTATATATGTGTAGTGTATCAACTACCTGGTATCCATAACACAAGCCTCGTAGCTTATCATGGAACTAGATGGTGCTGTGTGTTAATGTCCCAACAACATATAAATAAAAAATAACGTGTAAAACTCAACATTAAACAACCCGAGTAGAATTATTACATAGACCTGTTTCAATTGGAAGCAATTCTAAATATTTGTACGAGCTCCCACTGCGTTTGTAAATAGTGATATGGGCTGGACACATGATTGATCTGCGATAGCTACGCTTAGATAAACAGATTTTAGACATACCGAGTCTAGCGAAATAGATTAAGAGAGAAGACAGTTCAGGATTTCAGTTTGTGTTTATATTTATGAACTAGCGATTCAACCTCGCTTCGCTCGGGTTCGTCCCTAGGTATGTATTAACGGTTAGTATGGAATAGATAGGTTACATACGTATATATATATATATATATATATATATATTATATATATATATATATACACATAGGTATGATGAGTTGTTGTGGGTTGTATTATATGTTATAGCGTCCCCCCAAACGTACGTTCACCTTGTCGTGGTGGGGGGGCTCAGTAGTGCCCAGCAATACAGCCGGGCGCGAAGCCAAGAAACGCACAGGGAGGTGGCCCACTTCGGTGGGCGGTGGGAGGTGGCCCTCTTCGGTGGGCGGTGTACCATGCGGGTTGCTCCTGGTACTTCTCTGATAGCAGAGTGGACCTTGGAGCAACCCCGTGGTTGTTGCGGTCTGCTTCGGCAGACCTGCCGTCGGGGCGTCGTAGTTGAATGCGTAAGCGATCCTGCGACGCCCCATTAAGACGGGGGAAGGCTTTATTGGGTTTTAGTGGGTAGTACTGGCTTTGCCGGTGAGTCCCACACCTCGTGCGTAAATGCATTTCCCAACGTTAAAAAAAAAATGTTATAGCGTGTTTTTCCGTGGGAATGACATAATTACCCGTGATAAAAACCTATGTCACTCTCCAGCCCTCCTACTACATCCACACAAAATCACGCCAATTCGCCACTCTATTACAACGTGAAAGAAAGACACTCGTACAAACAAATAAACAAACACAGTTTTACATTTATAATATTATATAGTATGGATTTCGCCAAAAGCTTTCATGTAGTTATAAAACCGTATTTTCTCCATTCCACACGACATTATCGTAAGCTGTTTCCAATGGCCATAGAGTAAATAATTGAATTGAATTTAGTTATTTAAAACTATAATAATATTTTAGATACGTATATTTGTATTTTGTACAGTTTACTATTTACATTATGTAGTTACCTTAAAATTATTTTGCTATAATTTTACATACATTTAATTTTTTAAATTTATACATATGTTCTTTTGGAAATATATAATAATAGATTTATTTCTTTCTGAATGTACGTATATAAAAATTATATATTTTTGAAACGGCTTACCTCTGCTAAAGTTTCACCCTACGCCACTGGTACCTACTAGAAGATTTGACTCCACGGTCTTTATCTATAAGTAATATTAATTACTTCATCCATTAATCATTATAAGAAATAAAGGATAAAATTCCGAACTTCGAAGTTTCCAAAGTTAGAAGACTTTAGAAGGACCTCTAAGATAAAATGATCAACGACGTTACACAAGTGGAAGACGTTGTAGTGGGCGTTATTATTTAAAGGTCGCTCGTGCAACAGGGGCGTCCGCCCACGTTTTACTTATTATATCAGACCTCATAATATTTATGTTAGAATTCTATTACTATGTAAATTATAACGAAGTAGATAATTTTAAAGATTATTCTTCTTTTCTTTATTATTATAACTAAGCTTCAGAAGCTAAGTAGCTTTCAGAACGTGTAACAAATGCCGTGTTTTAAGAACAAGATATTCTCTCAATTAAGGTAATAATATTTACATAATAGGTACTCATAAAATTATTAATGACTACTGGCGATCATCTGTATTCAATTTTGAATATGTACAAAGTTACATAAATCGAAATTCATGAGTTCGATTCCTATTTCCGAAAATGAAAATCTTTAAAGATATTGTGTTTTATACATACATATAGCAATGAACATTTAAAACTGAAATGAAAGAATTTATCGATATTTTTATGTCACTTCAAAATGGCAGTACTTAATTATACAAGAAATATATAGTTAATTAAAAAATACAGCTATGCTTTGTAGCATACAAGTTATATGATATGAAGTCATATTTATTACTAGCGACTCATCCTCGCTTCTGTCGAGTTCGTCCCTAGCTTGCTTCCCAATACAAACTTTCATCCCCATTTTCATCCCCTTAAGAGATGATTTCCGGGATAAAAAGTATCCTTTGTCCTTCCCAGGATCTCAAACTATCTTCTTACCAAATTTAATCTAAATCGGTTTAGTAGATCCAGAGATTACCCCCTACAACGTCACAAACTCACAAACTTTACCTCTTTACAATATTAGTATAGATTGGTAAGAATTGATCGAAGCCGGAGGAGGAAGCTAGCATTAGTAAATAATAAACAAAAATGAGAAGTATTTCCATTAGAACTAACGGTCGGTTGATCGACAGTTACGTGACTTATCGGAGGGGCGGGCGATTTCTTTCTTTCAAGAATGGAATTGGACCTCCTTTTGAGAAATGAGAAAACTTTGCAAATGATAGCTGAAAGGATGTTGATTCTACTTTTGGCTACTTTAAATTCTTTAGTCATTTCCCAGAATTCATAACGCTATTTAGAAGTAAGAATATAAAATACAGTATTATATTGCTAACGTATTGAGGACTGTCTTTTTGAGTACTTCAGGTAAGTACTAAAAAATTTAATTATTATTAGTCGACATATACTTCCTTTTTATTTTCTGTCGAAAATTATATCTTTTCTTTGCCACTTTTTGTGCAAAAAGGAGTTTTAACTAGCTATCCAAGTAATTTGTAATTTAAATACTAATAATAATAATATTATATGTACGTTCGAAAATTTTTAAGCATGAATGGCTGTTTGTTACTCTTTCACGTAAAAACTACTGAACATATTTTCATGAAACTGCAGTAATATTATAGCTTATACATCAGAGTAACACATAAGACAATAATTTTCAAAGACATAGAAATACATAATTGAATTACGCGTGCGAAGCCTCGGGAAACGCTAGTTATAGATAAAAAATTGACGCGAGTAATGTCTCGGGCCAAAGCTAGTCATAGCCTACTAATACTATAAACGCGAAAGTTTGTAAAAATGTATGTATGGATATATGTTTGTTACTCTTTCACGCCAGAACGGCTGAACGGATCTGGATGAAATTAGGCACAAATATAGATTATAGTCTGGAATAACACATAGGCTACTTTTTATCCGGGAAAAATATACGGTTCCCGTGGTATAGATTTGTCTTTATTTTTCTAGAGGCGAACCCGAGCGAAACGAGCGTGAGCCGCTAGTTTACAAATATACCTATTCTGAGTAACACGTACCTCACACCGACTATTTGTTTAATCACTTAGCCTCGACGCTTTATAAAAAAAAACTTAATCCCATAGATTGAACTGTGCACAACACAATTGTTTTAGCGCGATGGAATATTTTATATGGTATTTTTCATTCCAATATTGAAGAGGTGAAATAATACAACAGAAATATCTAGTATTTTATGTAGTTTTTATCTGAATTCAAAAAAAGGAGCTTTCCTATTTGAGCGTAGGCTTTCTTGTCTTTTGTTTATCTTAGACACTCTTTACCTATTTTAAAGTGATTTTAATAATTCTAGTTTTAATGTACAGGCATTAAAAATGTCAGTGCCAAAAATCTATATATTAACATGTACGTGAAAATGAAACTTTGAACTCTGTATCATGGCATAGTTAAAGTTTATATAGAGAAGGACCACAAGAATACCAATTGACATTCTTTTATCGGCGAATCCGCTCGCGCATTTTATTTATAGTACCTGGGCGACCGAGCTTCGCTCGGAGTTTTTTGCCAAAAAAAAATACAAAAAAACCAGGATACGAACCCAGACCCCTGTGGTTGTCAAACTTGCGCTTTGGCCGTTTGACCACGATGTTTATGTCCTAGTGTGCGAATTAGCGACCATTTTTTGCGTGGAATAATGCGAAACAAAACGGCATGAAAACTCGAAAACACGCATTTTCCCAGACATAAAACTAATCTAGATCGATGTATCGCCCCCGAAACCCCCTGTATACTAAATTTCATGAAAATCGTTGGAGCCGTTTTCGAGATTCAGATTATATATATACAAGAATTTCTCGTTTAAATATATGAGATATAATTACTTCACTACTAAAAGATGAAGCATGAAGTTAAATAACCTAAATCAATAATATGCGAGCACTAACATAATATAAAGATGAAAAGTATGTTTGTCTGTACGTGTACGCCTATATACTTATATTTATCATATCAAATATGCGCTTAAATCTAAGAAACTTAAGTAATTATTCCACTGTACTATAAGGAAGAATTTTTGAAAAATATATGTGTATACACCTTTTATAACCTGATCCAAAACTTATATATCACAATTAAATAGGTACAATCGATATTTATACAAAAAAAATCCTAGAGCGAATAATATGAAAAATTAATATTCAACTATTTCAATACCTTGAAATATTCCATCATGACCGTTTTGTTCAACCTGCGTCAAGTCACATTATAATAGTTGAGGTTAGTGAAGCTGACGAATATTAAATACGGTTGAATATTGAATATTCATTATTGTAGTCTGGTATAAAAGCTTTTGCTATCGCTTTATTAAGCACATAACACAAAAGCTTTCGCAAGCAGACAATATGAAGACACAAAGAGCATTCTTTCTTGCCTTCTTTGGGCTTATAGCGGTTTGTTATTCTCAAGACTTCGGTGAAATATATTGCGGGAGACGACTAGCAACAGCTTTGGCTCTATTATGTGATAACAATCTTATCAAGAGATCTTCTCATCATGATATGGCGACGGTGGATATGGGATGGCCATGGCTTGCCCCGCATAGAGCCCACAGTATGAGCAGGAGCAAGAGAGGAGTTGTCTCAGAGTGCTGTGACAAACCTTGCACTATAAACGAGCTTTTATCTTATTGCGGAAACTAAGCTTTTCAAAGAAAGTATAGATTCGATTTATACATATACATATTTTAAGTAAGCTTTCAACGCATTGTAAATATCTACCTTTTGATTGTTTAGAGGGGATTATTAATACCCTATATTTTAAACGTTTGGCTTACGAGGCTCATACGGTTGACAGTTGCTGGTACATAGTTAAACCGAACATTTATGTGTATCTGATAGGCCAAGCAATCATGAAACAAGTTATTAATTTTGGCCGTAAGATATTTGTAATCATCATAGATTTTTAAGTTGTGTACATAAAATATACATGGAAATATAACTAAATTGTGTTTAATTCTTTATTATACATACTTATAGGAATCTATCTCTCTCTCTCTCTCTCTCTCTCTCTCTCTCTCTCTCTCGCTATATATTGAACAAACAGTCGAGTACCTGTTTCTCCTCTGTTTATCAATCGTTTTTTTTGTTAAGTAGCCATTGACGAACTTTAGTATTATCAGTAAAAAACTTTTAAAAACAGTTTTTTTTAAAGACTAAACAGTTTAACTATAATACTACTGATTTTTTTTGTATTGTAAGTATATAAAGGTGTATACTCAGATATACAACGAACGTATGGAAAAGAATATAAGAAAAAAAATGTTGGAAAAATCTAGATTCGTGTTCTTCTAAAATTTTCAATAATAAATACGGTCGAATTTCGGCCACTGGATGAACATTTGTAATCTTTAATTACCGTTCGCGTCACATAGTTCAAATTGTTCGTATCTACCAACAATAGAAAGAATCATTGGCTCGGACTTTCATTGCCTTTTTTCACTTTTTTCTTAAAACTTCCTTATATGTGAACGTCTTCTTCACCTACTTCAAAAGAACCTTCTCTTAGAGTACTCAATCAAATTTAAGTTTTTGTATGCTACGCAATATCTTTGCCATTTGGGTATGATATAAACGTATATAGGGTATACCTCAGGAGTGGTTGATATTTTTTTAATATTTAATGGCAAAACGAATTTTATAGGAAGCAAGAAATGTAGGTATGGGTAATATTTGCTGATCATATATCATGTGATCTACATAATAAATATTGACTTCAACATCATACATAACAAGAACTTACATAAAAATGTTTATGTTTCGATACCTTTCTATGTCAAATATTATAAAACATTAGCGAGTCACCCTCGCTTCACTCGGGTTCGTCCTTAGTTACGTTTTAACGTTCAGTATATATTTCAAATCAAATCAAATCAACCACTTTATTGCGAAGTTGGGTTAGTACATACATTTATTTGATGAGTTTCATCAAAATCTATCCAGTGGTTTTCTCGTAAAGCGTCCAGATAGACAGACATACAAAAATTCTAAAAAGTATAGATTACCCTTATGTATCGATAATAATGACCGTTTCAGTAAGATTTTCTGAAAAATATTGAATTTACAGATTCGACTCAGAATTTTATTATATGTATAGATTATAGTAAAAAAACTTTTTATAGACATCAAAGACAACTAGAACTGATTATATCGTAAATTGTTAACTGAAGTACCTTACAATACTTACATACCTGAAAAATAAAATTTAAGTGCTTTTTTGTGATCTCCAACGAGCTACCTCTTATTGAACTCATAGTAATATCGTTTCACAGTCCCATAACCGTATAATATATTGTACTATATTATACAGTGTTTAGAGTGGTTAATAGTTAAAACTGTTAAAGTGAACTGGACTTTCACTGATAGAATATCAATGAAGAGTATTTTAAAGGATTAGGTTAACTTAATGATAAGATTTTATATAAATTAAAAAAACAATCCAAAGGTTTTTTTTGTTTGGACATTAAAACGCAGCACCAACTAGTTTCATGGTAAGCTACGAAGCCTGTGTTATGGATACCAGATAGTTGATACTCTACACATATATAACTTTAAATACATATACATTATAAATATAAACAGCCATGACAAACGTTCGTGCTTATCACACAAATAAATGCACCCAGCGGGACTCGAACCCGTGACCGCTGGCACAGCAAATAAAACCACTACAAATTGAGCCAAACGCGTCGTCAAAATCAACATTTTTTATTATTCTAGAAAGAAAAGGAATTCGCGATGAATATCGAATAAAATTAGGACGATCGATTTTAACAGAATTTTTAGTTCAGATTTTAGGAACAAGAGGGTACGAGTACCAGATATAGACTCAGAAAAAAAGGGGTTTTTGACTGCATATTCATACATGTATAGACCTTTCATGCAATATAGGGAATAAAAGTTTTATGGGGTTATGGGGCCTGAACAAAGTGAGGGCGAGTTATACATAATAACTTACAGTATTAAAACGTAATTCTTAATTAAAACATTGTCGTGAATATAAGAGCCATAGCCACAGCTTGAGTTGAAATATTTTACCTCTTGTCAACCACCTTTACAAGGGTGCAGGTGCCAGTGATAAATAGTTCCCGTTAGGGACGACGCTTTGCTCTGTGGAAATCTTGTTATATCCTTTACTGCGGCCCTATTAACACGTCCATTTTATATATAAAAATATGTATAACAGATATAACATAAATCTATTCCCTTTCTAATTTTATGCTAAAACTAGCAGCTCCCCCTCGCTTCGCTAGGGTTCGCCTCTAGAAAAACACTAATAGAGATCTATTAGTTCCCACGGGAACCGTTCATTTTTCCGGGATGAAAAGTAACCTGTTGTTTGACCGGCAATATAAGGTATCAGATTGTTAAATTTTACTAAATTAAGTGCATGAGTTGTTGTGTACTAAGCTATATAAGTTACTATAGTTTTTTAACTATCCCACGGGAACTATTGAATTTTCCGGGATGAAAAGTATCGAAGATGTTGCCCGGGGATATAAGGTACCACCATGCAAAATTTCATTTAAATCAGTCCAATAGATTCGGAGATTAGCCCGTACAAACAGACAAACAGACAGAGAAACAAAAAAATTGAAAAAATCTGGATTAGTTCTATTTGTCTTCTTACATCCCCCTGACTCGGTTTTTTGCATTTTTTGCTATGTTCAGACATTCGACCTCTAATGTTTTATTATAGTATAGATGTAGTTTTTTCTTTGATTAACGCGAATATTTCGCTAATATAAAACTATCTTTTCGGATTTTTTTCTCTCACCTGCACTTGTCAGAGAACTTATCTCTCCCGTGACCATGATTGCTATAAAGTATTCGTAACGTCGGGAACCAAAAATCTAAATAAATCCGCAATATCAGCAAATATTTTTTTTTGGCAATTGTTACTTTATTTATATACAGATAGGTAATTTATAATCATATAATATGTTTTCCTCAAATTTTCTATAATAATTATGGTCGAATTTAAACCACAGGGTTCGCCCTGTGTCTAACACTAGTCTGTTAAAATCTGCAGCTTTTACTCTAACACATTTAAAAAAATAAAATAAAAAGAGAGTACCAACTCCTCGAGTTTAAGAAATGTTGTGCACAATTACTTAAGAGATGTCCCGAACACGCGCTGGAAAATGTTACCGCTTTTTAAATAAAAACTTTTCCAAGAAATGTTCTTGTCTTATTGATACAATGCAAATAGAGCAGCAAATCTTGTTTTTCCTCTTTCAAACAAGTTCCATTTATTGGTAATTTTAAGTCAATAAGTTGATCGTAGAACGTGTAGCAACAAGTTTTTTGTATGATGTGATTTTCGTTTTACAAAATTCTATACAATCGAAATTAAAAAACCCAGAAGCAAATAAAAAAATAGAAATTATACGTAAACACATCCAAAATAAAAATATGTCTACCTGGACGTCCAACACTAGTCTGTTAAAATCTGCAGCTTTTACTCTAACACATTTAAAAAAATAAAATAAAAAGAGAGTACCAACTCCTCGAGTTTAAGAAATGTTGTGCACAATTACTTAAGAGATGTCCCGAACACGCGCTGGAAAATGTTACCGCTTTTTAAATAAAAACTTTTCCAAGAAATGTTCTTGTCTTATTGATACAATGCAAATAGAGCAGCAAATCTTGTTTTTCCTCTTTCAAACAAGTTCCATTTATTGGTAATTTTAAGTCAATAAGTTGATCGTAGAACGTGTAGCAACAAGTTTTTTGTATGATGTGATTTTCGTTTTACAAAATTCTATACAATCGAAATTAAAAAACCCAGAAGCAAATAAAAAAATAGAAATTATACGTAAACACATCCAAAATAAAAATATGTCTACCTGGACGTCCAAGTGGCCAAATTCACAAATATTAGCTATCTGTGCAAGGGCTTTTACTATAATGTCAGCAAAAGGTGCTCTAGCACAAGTGTTCTTTCTATTACAGATGCGCAAGCCTAACGGCTTTACTCCAAAATAGAGTTGCTACTAATTTGTAATTTTTTTGACAGTAAAACATTATAAAAACCCAGAACTTCAACTCATGACCTCAGGATTACGAACCCTTTTATTGTTCTCACTAGACCATCAAGGATGTTTAATGTATTAAGTATATAATATGTACACCTCAGATTAGTTAGACAAAAAATTACAATTTTATATTTTCTGCACCTGGATCTTGCACATAATATATGTATGTATAGAAACGGCGAACAAAGAACCGTCTGAAGATTATAACACGGTTCTACGAGCACCTAACAATAAATATGATCGTAGAGCCCTTATAAAATACGCTCCATATAACTTAATGAAAGTTGCTACATAAAAAGTAATTAAGAGTTCATCTGTAGAAGATCACAGGAAAGTTAGTTCTTTTGGATATAAGAATTTTCTTCGAAATGCTCGTAAAACAAAAAAATATTGCACTTTGATTTAAAAGTAAAATGTCTGGGCACTATCTGAGGCGGGGCAGTTTGATTATATAAATAAAACTTCAATATGTACATCTGTGTTTTAAAGATTTAGATATGACGATCTCAAATCCACCATATCGTTCAACATTTACCCTTCAATGATTAATGCTGATAGAAAGTCTATCGATTCTGAAGGGGTTGCCACGGATATCCGGGTTCAAAAAAATCCTAACGAAAAGGCTAAGACACCATGACATGGCCAATTCAACGATAGGATTTCGACAAAACATATTTTTATATATTAATTATCTATACATATAATAAAATTGTAACTAAGCCGAATCTGTACATTAAATATTTTTTAGAAAATCTTATTGAAATAGACATTTGTTATGATGATAGATGGTTATCTGGGTCAACATATAGGATACTTTTTACTGCGGGAAAATATCTTATCTGTGAGAAATCTATACTAAACGTTAAAACGTAAGTAGAGACGAACCCGAGCGGAGCGAGGGTGAGTCGCTAGTATAATATACAAATATTCTGAATACTACATTCAAAACCATATTTGTCCATTAAATCTATTAAAGTCCTAGAAATCGGTTATGTATTTATAAATAATTATAATTGTTTATTAAATCGCTACACCTGTACTTGGGTTTAATGTGTCGGTAAATTCAGGTTATATTAGTGCTGGTTACTGAACATTGATAATCTTCTCGGGATAATTAATGTTTTGAATATTAATGATCAGTTTATGCATAAAAGCTTCATCAATTATCGAAAACATCTCACTCGAATACAATAGAATAGAAAAATATGAAGATTTTCTCGAGGTTTGTTCTCTTTACCTTCTTAGGCTTAGCAGCGTTTACTTCTTCGCAGGATTTTGGCGAGGTGTACTATGGGAGGAGATTTGCACCAGTTTTGGCTCCTCTCTGCGACAACTTAATGAAGAGGCCTGTGATTCGGTACAATATGATGATGTTCTCCTGGCCGATTCCGGCCACGGCGGCCAATCTCATTGAGACTAGCCAACTGCACAGGAGATATTATAGTGCACAAGTGTACGCGCAAACACCAGAGCACTCTCTATTCCTGTCACTCTCATACTCCGGTGGGACGACTGCTCGACACGACCAGTGAGAGTTAAGGCGCAGGACCGACGGCTTTACGTGCTCTCCGAGGCACGAGGGTGAAACACCGCCAACTTCCTAACTCCGGGCTGATACTGAGACTTAATATACAGTAAGACTCAATTACTAAACTTGGTCCGACCCGGGACTCGAACCCAGGACCTCCGGGTTTTTTTTCGGTACAATAAAGAGTTAAGAATTCAACTTGGCCGTGGCTCGCTCTACATAGAGCGCCCAGTGGGCCGCAGCAAGAGACAGGTGGTCTCCGATTGTGGCAACAAGCAATGTGCTATCAACGAACTTTTTTCTTATTGTGCCAAATAAGTTGTGAGCGTTTTTGTATTTCATAAAAATAAAATAAACTAAATTTTTAAAAATAAAAATCCTATTAAAAATTCACATATGTTTTTGATTTATTTCTTACATAACAGTATTTTTAGCATCTTAATTTTTTTTTGTATAATAAATATGCAATATAAACGTCATTGGATATCGCTGTTATCTTGGATTAGTACAATAGTCATTTTATTAAAAACGATTACTATTTGAAGATGTAATAGGTGCACATAGTGTACATGTGCGAGGCAAAAACGAGTGCAAAACATGACTTATATCTATAAGTCTATCGTGTTTATTTTAAGAACTAGCATTTCCCGCGGCTCCGCCCGCGTTCAGATGACGAAAAACCAAATCCTTAGGTTATACATATTAGTATACTCTTACATTGCAGTTTTTGTATTTTTCCTCAGAAAAGAGATATTTTCTCGCGGTAAAAAGTATCCTATATGTTGACCCGGATAACCAGCTATCATCATACCAAATTTCATCAAAATCTGTCCAGTGGTTTTCTCGTGATGCTGTAACAGACAGACAGACAAAAATTCTAAAAACTATAGATTCGGACTCTGTATCGATAATAATGTCTATTTCAATTAGATTTTCCATAAAATATTTAATGTACAGATTCGACTTAGTTACAATTTTATTATATGTATAGATTGTAACATTTTTAACTTTCAAGTTACGGCTAATTATGTACCCAATTATTAAAAAAAAAACTACAGATGTAAGTATACATTTAACCCTTAGATTGGATGCAAATAAACTAGGTAGTCTACACCGAAGCCTCGAGAAAGCGAACATCTTTAAACGTAATATATTCTTGTTACATTACAGGCTTGGATTGTAATGAGTATAATAAATATTATTACATGAACCTAAATACCCTCACGTTTTGTAAAGATTTATGAGTCACTAATGAAAAGAATGTTTATTTATTTGCGATTCAAACCTTTATAATTTATTGCTTCCGCCATCACTGTATTGACCATCTTATGTGACTTACTTATTGGTTACTTCTCAATACAAAAGCGGTTTCTTGGTTGGTTGATGCGGTCACAGACATACAGACAGACAAAAAATCTAAAAACTATAGATTCGGTCTCTGTATCGATAATAATGTTTTATTCAATAAGATTTTCCAAAAAATATTTAATGTACAGATTCGGCTTAGTTACAATTTTATTACCTATATGTATAGATTTAAATTTAGATATTTCATTACGTCTGCTATAAATACGTAGATAAAGGTGAAAGGTTAAAATTAGACATTCAATGAAAAATTCAGGTCACATTAGTCGACTTTATCCAACAAGATACAATAGAATATTAATGAATCTCATTACGTATAAAAGCTCCTGAAAATATCGTTTATAGCACACAACTTCAGATAATTTAATTCAACAAATATGACAATCTTAATATTTTATTTCTAGCTCTCTTGGGTCTTCAGCAATGGCATCTTCTCGAAATTTCGAGAAAATCTACTGAAAAGAGACCTGAAAAACGTATGCACTGGTTTGTGATAATATAGTATTTTATTTAAAACTAGCATTGCCCACGGCTCCGCAAGCGTTCAGATGACCAAAAACCAAATTCTTAGGTTTTACATATTAGTATACTCTTACATTGCAGTTTTTGTATTTTTTCTCAGAAATAAGATATTTTCCCGCGGTAAAAAGTTCATCAAAATCCCTCCAGTGGATTTTCTGTGATGCGGTAACAAACAGACAGACAAACAGACGGACAGACAGACAGACAAAAATTCTAAAAACTATAGATTGGGCCTCTGTATCGATAATAATGTTTATTTCAATAAGATTTTCCAAAAAAAATTTAATGTACAGATTCGGCTTAGTTACAATTTTATTATATGTATAGATTCTGGAAATGAAAAATCTTTCTGCAACACGATTGCCGCGGTTACTGACAGTCGACCAAAAACTTAATCGCTTAATAACTTCAGACCAATATTTGGCCATATTTTATCGCAACTCAAATGAATTTTTTTGCATAAACATGCAAAGTGGATCTGTACTGAATAACGTATCTCAAAGAAAATAAAAACTGTTCATTCGATGGGTACAGTATGGTCACTTTGTTTTGGGATAGTCAAGGAGTCATTAACAATATTTTTTTATGATAGGCAGGATAATGTCTGGAGCTTACTATGCTGCATTGTTAGATAATTTTAATAATGAGTTTTCTAGTTTTCTCTTCAAATAAGAATGACGTGATAGCTGAAACGGATGCCTTTTTTCCACGGTTAGACAAAAAATATTTTTTGATAGGTTCAAGATGTTAGAATATCGCTAATTAAGGTGTATAGAATTGAAAGGAGAATATGTATGTATGAAATATTAAACAAATTTTGACGAAAAATAGATTTTTTTCTTGTCAAAGTCACTGATTTATCAAACGACACTCGTATACATTTCTTAGACCCAAATTACTCCGCCCGCGTCTTATAGAAGGGATGAGTATAAATTGAAACACACACAAAATAAACCAATCAATTAAAGATAAATTGGGTCTTGTTTGTCGATTGAAAAGCGCAGATTTAAAAACAACTAAGAATAACTGAAAAACTGTTACAGTCAAAATGTACATCGTAGAAAGAGAGAGTGTCAAATTTACAAATGCATTCAAGTAGTTTATATTAATTTTACTGATTCTGTTAACATTTGTTACTGTTTTTATGGCAATAAATACTATTTAATATTATTATTATTATTATTAATTTTAAGGTTGCGTTCATAATTATAAAGTTATAGTAAGAAAAAAGATAAATTTGATTTTTATGTTTTTCCGTGAATTTTTTCCAATTTATCTTTTCATAAGAAAAAACCTTCGGCCGTCAAAAATTATTTAAAAAAAATAGCCCGTTCTCGAGTTTTGCGCTTACTAACACATTTATCCATTCATTTTTCTTTATATATGTAGTATATTTAATTTAAAAATGAACAGATTAATGCCACCAATATCTACCAATGTGATTTGTAACTCGGCATGCAAAATAGTCAGAAAAGCTTAAAAATTACATTTAGTGAACAATATATATAAAGAGATATTATTATAATTTTTTATTTATTATAAAATATAGTTATGTACATGGAACAGACATCAGGACCTTATTTTATGACTTAGAATAATTAAATAAGAACTACAATTGCCCAAAATTTTTCGAAATATTAATTTTAGAAGGCACCACAATAAGACATTAACTCATTAATAGTGCAAGGCTTGTCGCAGCACTCGGAGACCACCTGCCTCTTGCTTCGACCCATACTGTGAGCTCTATGTGAGGTAAGCCACGGCCATCTCGTATCCGTTGCAACATTTTGTTGCATTTCGGACCTTTTTATCAAACTGTTGTCACAAAGTAGAGCCAAAGCTGTTGCAAGTCTTCTTCCACAATAAACTTCTCCAAAATCTTGAGAAAGTACGATTGTTGAAAAACCGAAGAAGGCCAAAAAGAATAATGTTGGGACCTTCATGTTTCTTGGATGAATGTATCTGCAGTTGTGTGCTTAACACGACACTTTCAGGAGCTTTTATAGATGAGAAGACTCATTAATATTCCACTATATCTATTTGGGTAAACTCTATTAATATAATCTATCGCTAATGACCCGTAGGTGGGCACATTAAAAATATTTAATCCCTCAACGACTGCGGACACGCCGGCGTGTCAGTTAACAATAGATTTCTTAGAATATTAATTAATTTCTTAGATATTTACCTGGAGGTGTTAGAAAAATCAATAAAATAAACTGCAGAACTAATACTATTAAAATATACTATAATTTTCTTACTAAACAAACAATTATTAGGAGAAATCAAATAATATAAATTAACTAGCGACTCAACCTCGCTTCGCTCGGGTCCGTCCATAGTTACGTGTTAGCGTTTAATATAGACTTCTCAGAGATGATATATTTTTCAGCAGTAAAAAGTATCCTAAATGTCGACCCGGATAACCAGCTATCATCATACCAAATTTCATCAACATCTGTCCATAAGTTCTCTCGTGATGCGGTAACAGACAGACAAACAGACAGACAGACAGACAGACAAAAATTCTAACTAAAAACTGTAGTATCGGCCGATATCGATAATAATGAATATTTCAGTAAGATTTTCCAAAAAAATATTTATTGTACAGATTCGACAGAGTTAGAATTTTATTATATGTATAGAATAGCGAGTTATGAGATGAAAATGTTTCCTTAATACTTATTAGTAATATAATATTATCATTTATTTTATTTTTTCACACACTTGGTTAGGTACACTTTTAGGGTTCCGTAGAAGAAAGGCAAAAACGGAACACTTTCATCATACGCTTGTTTGACCGTATACTTAAAGTTAAATATACGTATGTTTGCCTAAGTTACAAGTTAAAACATATGAACAAGGAAGCCGGGTAAGCGAGGCAGTCTAGTGCTTATCCGATTTTTAATATATATTTTTTTATATTTATCAATTTAATACTTAATTATATACATCATATTTTTTAATCATTATGATATTTTTATATTTTATATCATTTAACTAAATATATTTTTTTATTTAGACTCTTTCGGTAGTTAGGACTCCTCACATATTACACCTACAGTTATGTCACTTGTTATTTATCACAAGACAAATTTAGAATATGTTGACCGAGTTTAATCAACTAGATATAATGGAATATTAATGAATTTCATCACGTATATAAGCTCCTGCAAATATCGTCTAAAGCACATAACTCCAAACACTCTCCTGCAACAAAGATGAAGATGCCAACAATATTATTTTTGACCTTCTTAGGTCTTTTAGCAATTGTATCTTCTCAAGATTACGGAGAAGTCTACTGTGGAAGAAGACTAGCGACAGCTTTGGCTCTTCTATGTGATAACAATTTGATAAAAAGGTCCGAAATGCATCAAAATGTTGCAACGGATATGAGTTGGCCGTGGCTCGCTCCACATAGAGCGCACAGTATGGGCAGGAGCAAGAGGCAGGTGGTTTCCGAGTGTTGCGACAAACCTTGCACTGTTAATGAGTTGATGTCTTATTGTGGTGCCTTCTAAGAACTGACAATCTGGCAAGATTTCGGCATCGTACAGAAATACTTTTCAGATACTTTAGTTATTAAATTGTAATCGTTACAAAATGGTCTGTTATATAACATGTACTTGATGTATAAGTTTCAAATAAATATTCCTTCATCCATATATTCTGTATTCTTTGCTAATTACAATTTTTCTTCCATATTTACTTTTAATAAAAACTTTTTAACAAAAAAATAAAAACCGACTTCAAACAAAAGCACTAAAAAGTAAAAAATAACTGATTGGTAGTTTTCATTTACTATACATACCTAATCAAATATTTTCGAAGTCGGTGTGCTTTGCTTTGTATGGGCTGGCACCGATTTCGAAAATATTTGATTAGGTATGTATTTAATAGGTAGGCTTTAATTACTTAGCCAAAGCACACCGACTTCGAAAATATTTGATTAGGTATGTATAGTAAATGAAAACTACCAATCAGTTATTTTTTACTTTTTAGTGCTTTTGTTTGAAGTCGGTTTTTATTTTTTTGTTAAAAAGTTTTTATTTTTCCCTTTTTAGTGTAGACAGTAGTAGCACAGTAAGACTTCTAACGTGTTAGGCTTGTCAAATCAAACAAAATAAGCCCAAACTCAAAGTATCTACTATTAGCCGTTGAAGAGTTCCACCTATCCACCTTCTGGCCTTGCCATCAGATCAGGTCAACAACACCGAACCACTGTACTATCAACGGAAATAGAAATACTTGCAAAGTTTCAAGTCAATATGACAATTAGAAGTAGGTTAAATTCATCATTAGTTGTTTTTCCACCCTTAGGGGAGGTATTTTTTTTTGAAATTTAAATGGGACCAATCTGGAAGTATACCCTTTCAAACAAAACAAAAATTTTCCAAATCGGTTAATAAATGACGGAGTTCTGAGGTAACAAACATAAAAAAAAAAAAAAAAAAAACATACAGTCGAATTGAGAACCTCCTCCTTTTTGAAGTCGGTTGAAAAGCACTTTACACCACAATGGTTTGTACAAATTGTTAATAAAGTATATTTTTAGGAGAAAATTACGATGATTATAAAGATGTATTGCATATTGGAAATAAATTCTAATATGCTTGTACCAATATTTGGCCCAATTGGGTACGAAAACGAGTACTTCTGTTAGACTTAATTTTTTTTAAACAGGTTAATATTTTTTTAACAAAATAGTCAATAAATCTTTTACTTAACTTTAAATACTTCAAAAATATAAAAAAATATTTTTGTTTCTCATTTTTATATCCTCACAGTAGATTATGAACAGTTTTATTTCCGACTTTATAATCAGACAAAAAAAATTGCTTTTTAGTCCAAGGAAAATTAAACTTTTTCCAAGGAATTTCATTGTTAATTACATAAATACATAGGAATTATATATATGAATTATTACGTACTATGAAGAGTGAAGTCGTGAGGTCGTCCTTAACAAAATTAAAACTGCACTAGCAGATTTTTGGAAAATTATTTCTCTTAGTAAAAAATCACTTTCTTTATTATACACTTTATATTACTTTGAATTTATATCACTTAATACCTAAATGAAGCTAGTCGTAGATTTAGGACCTTTAAAATAGTTTTTCAAGCTCTAGATTTTTAAAGCTTTAACTTCGACTAATGGAAATTAACATTAAAATTATTATTATCTTTTTAACTTAAGTACTATTTTAAAATAACTTCTTAAATTATTTATTTATCTTTTGTATTCAATTAAATTATATCATTTCATTATATATCATTTTAAAATATAAAAATGTGGTGTTTGAACTTGATTAAAAGTGCGGTCGGAGACCTCATCAATGTAAGACGTGCAATACGAAAATAGCTAATGAACTAATATTTAATTAAAACGTCAATGTGAAGCTCGTAAAATAAACGAGACTTGCATGAAATATGAAGTTGGAATATAACTGGAATTTAAAGCTTATTTAAAGCTTACAAAAATACTTATTTAATTCAACATTTTCAACTAAACAATAACAATAATAACAATAAAAATTTATTATAATAATTTAGTATATTAGAAATATCCATCGATAGGTCAAAAATTTCAAAACATTAAATTTTCTAACTTTTTAAAATTTAAATTCAACTCTAAACCATCTATCTCATTAATGAATAGTTTAAGGGTTATAGCGTTACATAACATCATCAAATATAGCAGATGCAGATATAGCAGAATGCAGAGTTCCAGATAGGGAAGCACAATGTAATCAGTTGTAGAGAGTAAGATAGGCCTCATAATGATATAGTGACTCTACTTTCCGTGCCAGCGGTCCCGCTCGGGGCATTCATTTGTGTGATGAGCACAAATGTTTATACTCCAGTCATGGGAGTTATAATATGTATGTAGATATATAAAGTTATATATGTGTAGTGTATCCACAGAAATCTTAATAATAAGCTAATAGAAGTGGCATAGACGCGTGACCTTGTCGCCGCGCATGTGACTCGTAGGTCACAAGCGCGTGTAAAGCGTTTGTTGCGGTAACTAGTGTTATTTGAGACACGAAGAGGTAAACATGGTGTTTTGCAGCATATCCAACTGCGGAAATTCTGTATCCATAACACAAACCTCGTAGCTTACCATGGAACCAGATGGTGTTGTGTGATAATGTCCCAACATATTTGTTTATTTATGAAACAATTTGTGAAAAATAAATAGAAAGTGTATTCTAATTCAATTTAAAAATAAGCCCGAAACAGTCTAAAAGCAGTACTTTATGGTTTTTTTGGGAAATAATAGAGTCGACAATTATAGAGGGTTTTTTTTCTATTTTTATTTAGGGACTTCTTAGCAATAGAGCTAAATGTTAGTGCCATCATTCCCTTAATACATTTATACCGCTAAAAATATTAATGAAAACCTCATATTATGACTTATTTAAACATCAAGTGATACATAGTTTTGGCTATCTCTGAGTCAGGTTTAGACAGTGCGCTTTGAAAAAGTCCAACATCATTTCAGCAAACGTTCAAACGTATCAACTCCTGTCTCCTATCAGCGTTATAGAGAGTTGTTTACTGAACTATGACTGAAAGCTTTAAAGTAACGGGATGTAAGAAGTCCCTTAAGTTCTATAATTGTGCTATATGCTCACTTAGACCCATTTAAAGATAATACGGGTCAAAAGTCTATTCAGAAGGCCAAGGAGATGTGTTTTCGCCAAGACGTAATGGACTTTGAACGACGTCATCAGAGGTATTATAATGAAAATACGATGGGAGATTACGGTTGGGGTTTGATGCGAGAAAGTCCACTCACACTGTATATAAGAAATATGATAAATATTTATGTTCAAACTTAGTCGAAAAATTGACTTAATTTTAAAATTGAATTCTGTTTAATAGCAATTTAATATTAATTCACGATAGTATAAATCTATTTTTCTTAGTATTCATTTCTGCCTGCGCCTGATCTCTCACTGGTCGTGTTGAGTTGTCGTCCCACCGGAGTATGAGAGTGACAGGAATAGAGAGTGCACGTTGTGTCTGCGCGTACACTTGTGCACTATAATATCTCCTGCGCAGTTGGCTAGTCTCAGTGAGACCGGCTGCCGTAGCTGAAAATTATTGAGATTAGACTTAATTTTATAATATATACCGATTATATTTCTCTTAGGTAGTACCATAAAAATAAACACGTTTCACGTGTAAACGTTTTTGTGAAAAAATATTTTTTTATATCCTAAGGGATGAAAAAAAATTTTTAAGGAATCAGACAAAAATTAATTATTGTAATAGCTATTTTTAACGAACACTTATTCTCGAAGAACTGGGCTTTGTTACTGGGTTTCGGAAACGCAGCAGCTGTCTTGCCACTTGTACAGATATTATTAATTCTACGAGTACTATTATTTTGTATCAATATTTAAATAAAGTATTGATTGATGTATATTGCTCCATTAATAAACAAGAAACGGCATTTAAAAAAAAATCCCTTCAGCTTCATAATATTATAATTTATACTTAGTGTTAATATGTTTTTTTTAGTTGTAATTAATGAAAACATATAAGTACCTACATCTATTGAAAAATCTACAATCGTTATCTAATAAGGTACAAATATACTGTATACTGTATAGCATTACTATCATCATTATTTATTAACAAGTCGATACTTGACTAACAAATTGAAAAAAATAATAGAGTTGATAATACTCTATCTATACATATAATAAAATTTTAACTGAGGCATTCGACTCACAAAATATTTTATGTACAATGTACATAAAGATTCCTGTATGTACCTACATTAAATATTTTTTGGAAAATCTTATTGAAATAATCATTATTATTGATTACAGAGGTCGAATCAATAGTTTTTAGAATTTTTATCTGTCTGTCTGTCTGTCTGTCTGGGAACGCATCACGAGAAAACCGCTGGACAGATTTTGATGAAATTTGGTATGATGATCTGCTGAGCTGGTTATCCGGGTCAACATATAGGATACTGTTTACTGCGGGAAAATATCTCATCTCTGAGAAACCTTTTTTAAACGTCAATACGTATATTCTACAATTTAAAAATAGAAAATTTAAGTTTATAAAATACTCATGAGTCAAGTAATAACATTTATAATAGAAAAACCATACAAGATGTATACTGATAAATCGTTTATTATAATTTGAAATAATTTATAATATGATACATTTATATACAATCTTTAGGTCCATCTTTACGATGGCAAAAACTTTACAGAAATTTTAGTTTTAGAAGGCACCACAATAAGACATTAATTCATTAATAGTGCAAGGTTTGTCGCAACACTCTGAGACCACCTGCCTCTTGCTTCGACCCATCATGTGCGCTCTATGTGGAGCGAGCCACGGCCAACTCATATCCGTTGCAACATTTTGGTGCATTTCGGACCTTTTTATCAAATTGTTATCACATAGAAGAGCCAAAGCTGTCGCTAGTCGTCTTCCACAGTAGACTTCTCCAAAATCTTGAGAAGATACAATCGCTGAAAGACCTAAGAAGGTCAAAAATAATACTACTGGCAACTTCATATTTGTTGGATGAAAGTATGTGGAGTAATGTGCTTTAGACAACATTTGCAGGAGCTTTTATACGTGATGAGATTCATTATTATTCCATTATATACACTTGGATAAGCTCGACTTATAAATCTGAATATGTTATTGAATTTGTTATGGAAATTATTTACCTCTTTAATTAACCATAGGTGTAGTGTAGTACCTACCTATGTAGGTACTAATTTGAATTATTTTAAACCCACAATTAAATAAAACTATCTTATCGGATTTTTTTACGATTTTATTTTGATTTTTGGTTCACGACGCGACGTTACGAATGCTTTACGGCAAACATAGTCACGGGAGAGACTGAGGTGTTAGATGTCTCAAAGGTATTATATACTTGTTACAGACAGCCTACCCATAAAATAACAAAATATATTCAAAAAATTGAAAAATGGCACCAAAGTGCCTTACGATATTTGTTAATTTTAATTTTAAAACATTTTTATAAGTTTACGAGTAATTATTTTTATATTGATTATTTTATAATATTAGTTTTATTTAAAATATCAAATATTCACGTAAATCCCACAAATAAATTTAAAATAACTATTGAAGTAATTTATAACTGTATTTCTTTAGATCACCAGCTGATTGATACCATTATTGAGTAATGACAGTTTATGGATCGATGAGTAAAAACTGATGAAAGTACATACCCAATTATAAAAGCTATGGCTACATATACAAACATACTTTAATATTATTACATATAAAGAAAATCAATAATTATGTTGACACAGAACTGTTGGAAGCTTCAAGTTTATTAATAGTAATTTCAAGACGTACGGACGATAAAAAGTTAAGCAAGATTCAAATCTATACTTAATATTAAAAAGAGGTAAAGTTTGTGAGATTGTGAGTTTGTGACGTTGTACGGGGTAATCTGGATCTACTGAATCTATTTACATGAAATTTGGTAAGAAGATAGTTTGAGAGTCGCGAGTATGAAATAAAATTTTAACAAAATCGTAGACTGCTGTTTTATTAATTCTTTGGAATATAATGGAAGCCAAAACAACGATAGAATTTTTATATTTAGTAAGTAGTTTAAAATAATTAATTTTGGATAAAGACATAGCAGATTTCCTTTTTTAAAACTAATTTAAATTTAAATCAGTTGTTTAAATAAAAACATATAACTGGAGATCAACTACGAGTATATGCTCGAATCTATAGGCGGTGAGTAGATTGTCCGTATCAAGTTGGAGAAATAAACAATAGGTAATCTACAGACACTAAAGTATATAGAAAATCACCACTACTAGTAAAAAATGTGGGTCATGTCAGGTTGTTTTGAAATAAAAGTAAGAACTATTTATTAAAAAAATATATTAAAATAGGTTAACAATTCACGACATAATCGCGTTATATACCCGCAAAAAAATACAGCTAAATCGAGTACTTTCTTTTTTAATCGATCAAAAATATACTCGAGAAAAATATTTAACTATCCTTATCGAACAATTTATGAATACAAAAATCTATTCTAATTATGTCTGAATCTGAAATAATCACGCGATAAAGAAAAAAAATCTAAAATAAATTTCCCTCGAGATAAACAACCTTCAAAAACTCTGATTGAGCTTTATTATAATTTGATATATTACAACAACCCTCATTTGCCTCTGGTCCTGTTTTATTTATTATTCTTAGTATTTTGTTTACTTAGATCTAACATCGATAATTTTGTCAATTATATATATATATATATATATATATATATATATATATATAATATATATATATATATATATATATATATATGTCGGAGACGAGTCATAATCACAACTAATCGGAACGCGAGCGCCACCTTTTTGGGCTCGACAGAGTCTACGTTGTGACACTCGACCGGGCTCGGCTGAGTTACGCTTGGTCGGTCGCACAGTGAACACTAGTAGAAACTGTCTTGCGTTCCGTATTGTCTATACGTGGTAATAGTGAAGTGGTATATGGTTGTGTAGTGAAGTGCTGTTTAACTATGTACAAAGTGATTATTGTTAATTTGAAATACAACTGTGATTGCATCGACTTTCATTTGAACCAACACTTCCCATATAACGCCCACTGTATAATTCATGATAAAATAATGGAAAATAATAGAGAAAATTAATGCTGCTTCGATATCAGAAGCGGGATCAGTGTTGGTTCAATTGCAAAAAGAACTAACTGTGAGTGAACAATGGCGTGCTATGTTTGAACAACAAAATGTCAGTATGTGATCTCTTATCGAGGCCATGCAAATGCCTCGGATGAAGAAGAACGTCATGTTACACGAGTTTGACCCTGACAATATGGATACGGACGCAAGATCTTTGTTTGCGACTGCAGATTTGTGTTTTGCCGAATACCCTCCATACGGCGGCCAGCTTGTTTTAAGTCAGTAAGGAATTAAAAGGATAAGGTTCGACGTGGCTATCACAATTTGCATACCAGAGAATAACATAGGAAGAGTTCAAGGTGATTTTCAAGGCGAGGTTTGTTTCCACCGAGACATTGGCTGGTACGCTAATTAATTTTAACAGTGACAAACCAAATGAAAAAAGAAACTCGTTACGTACGCAAATCGCCTGATGACGTCACTGACTAATCGTTGGAAAGACGCTAGCAAGAATCAGATAGCAATTGCGACTGTCCTTGCTCACTTATGTCAGTTTAATTCGAAATTACAACGATTGGCCTTTATTACGAAAATTGCTTCGCGAGATCGACTGCAGCAGGGATTGCACGCATTCTCACATTTGAAACGCAAAAAAAAGTGAGTCTTAAGCGGTCAGAGTGTAGAAGCAAGGTAAATGACAGTGTGGAACGACCTTCGATGACAGCAACGGCATTGCAGCCTGCAGTGAAATCTCTGGTGTGTTTCAAATGTGGCAAGCCTGGTCACATCACGCTCCGGTGCATAAGTAGTGCCAGTCAAGTGGACGGCAGCAATATGGGTGCAACACGAACGGAACGACGCGTGGATGTATGTGTTGTACAACCATCTTCGAATGCTCAATGGCATAGAGGTAATCTGTATTGCTTTTGTTATAATCATGTTGCTGAATATTCGTTAGTAAGATAACATTTAGCAGTCAAATTGTGTGGTTAACAATTTTGTCCTTGCAATTTCTAGTATTGATCAAAACAGAATATTCCGCACAGAGTAAAATTTGTTTTGTAACGATTAACGGTCATTCTCTTGAATTCTTTTGAAATATTATGTTTTCCCTAATTATTAGTTACAAAATGGTATCATGATAGAACATGAGATATTGAAAGGTTTTCTATTAACATGACGGCTATAAATTCTTTACACAAAAATTCTAGTAGGTCATGTACCAATAGAGGTTGATGTAAATAATGATCAACATGCCAAGCAAATGTTTTAATGAAGTCGATGAAAACCGATGTAAGCATTCTGACGGCCGTAGTAGTGTCGACCGTACTAGTAACTATTACGTAGTAGTCATAGCCTGGTAAAAGTCGGTCTTTTGAGGAAGCTCAAACTATATAGACCGTGGGTGTGTGATGTGCGTTTAGTTCTGGCGGAGGTCGGGGTCTGTTATGACCATAGTGTGTAGTCATCAAGAGGATGATACACGCGGTGATCCCGTAGTGGATGCACCTGGATTGTGGAGCAATTGTGATTGCTGGTTGGCTTGTAAAGCCGTGGCCTAAGAGTGGTTTACAGAGGTGCTAGTAAATTTGAAAATAAGTTTTGATTGCTAAAGTGTTGAATGATGTTGGTACATGGCTCTGGATGACTGACGTTATTAGTTAGATTAGAGATAAATAGTGACTTGGAGTTTAAAAAAAAACAAAGGTGTTAGCGTTAAAGCTAAATTTCGTTAGAATAAAGATGATTCAGATTCTAAGTTAAGTTTTATCTGGTTAGGATTGACCGAGTCGGGCAAGTATTTTCGTTGATTATTTGGTTGCAGGCTAACACGCGGCTACGGGCTAACACACGAGGGCGTGTGCATGCAGGATGGCCGTGTCGGAGACGAGTCATAATCACAACTAATCGGAACGCGAGCGCCACCTTTTTGGGCTCGACAGAGTCTACGTTGTGACACTCGACCGGGCTCGGCTGAGTTACGCTTGGTCGGTCGCACAGTGAACACTAGTAGAAACTGTCTTGCGTTCCGTATTGTCTATACGTGGTAATAGTGAAGTGGTATATGGTTGTGTAGTGAAGTGCTGTTTAACTATGTACAAAGTGATTATTGTTAATTTGAAATACAACTGTGATTGCATCGACTTTCATTTGAACCAACACTTCCCATATAACGCCCACTGTATAATTCATGATAAAATAATGGAAAATAATAGAGAAAATTAATGCTGCTTCGATATATATATATATATATATATATATATATATATATATATATATATATATATATATATATATATATATATATAAAACAAAGACGGGTTTGTTACAACACTTAACTCGAGAACTGCTAAACTGATTTTTATGATATTTTGTTGGATTTGCCTTTACCCCGAATAGTGGAAAAACTATTAAAACATCGGAAAAAATTGAAAAAAAAAACCTATTCCATACTAAGCGTCAAAACGTATCTATTGAGAAACCTGAGCGAAGCGAGAGTGAGTCGCTAGTAAAAGAATAATAAAAATTCAATTCAATCCTTTATTAAATGGCTTTAATGCGTGCCAGTTGAACACAAATTATTTCGCCAATGTCACGTTGAAATAAAAATTGGTTTAATATAATGTATCACATTACACCTCCTCGCGTACAAAAAGCAAACTCTTGAATTTACACAATATGGTCGTACTTACCACTTTGAAAGACCATATATTTAAAGTTAAATTGATTAAATAAAACAAAACTATTTCAAATAAACTTTATTACAATTGTATTTTACAGAAACATGTTCACAAATATTTCCTACCTTCCGCAGTAACTTAACAGCTCGTTTATAGTACATGGCTTATCACAGCACTCAGAGACTATCTGTCTGTTAGTTCTTGCCATATCTCGCATGGGGCGAGGCCAAAAT